TTTTTGTCCGGTCCCTGTACCAAAGTAATAGGTGTTGTAATTAAGTAAAGGTAGTTGATCATTATATTAGCTACAACCGTAGTTCGACTCTCATATTGCTTTCCAGTAATCAGAAAGTACTAGAAATATCTCGGCGGCCGGTTGAAAACTATATAGGGCCGGAGAGAGCTTATGCTCTCAGTTAGTTAGCTGTTATTTTTGCGAGTTGTTAGCTCATCGTGAGATCGGAGATATTTCTGAGTTAGCTTTTTCTTTAGATGCGCTTTGCATTGCTTTGTCTTTAACGTTCTTAGTAGTTTTAAGTGTAACTACTGATTGTATTCTGTGATACTGTGAACATCTGTACGAGTATTTCCGTTTAAAATTCCAGAACTTTGAAGTACTTTCACTTGACAAAAATAAATTTTATTAACTTGTCATCTGATCTGTGGGTATTCAATCTATTACGAAGTCGTGCGCGCTCAGTAATATTAAACTCTTAGCGCAATATCACGCATACTTAGTTTCCATTTACACCAGATAAATTTCCGCTAAATTTGTCCTCCGGAATGTTAAATCGCACACAAATTTTGTCAATAGAAGGGAGGGCAGCCCGAACCTCATCCATATGGCCAGCGATTGTTCTAATTACATCGAATATGGAATAATCACTGAAAATCGTATTTATTTCGCGAATGATCTTCATAAAATTTACAAAAGTTGCAGAGATGATGCTATTTGTAGAGTTTTTATTTTGAGCATTTCTATTTTTGCTCTGCTGACCGGTGGCAATGATATCTAGTCATTTACATCAATGATTTTATTAGATTTACCTGCATTCAGGGACTGACTAAGGCCTAGGCAAACTAGGCACGTGCCTAGGGCCCGCAACTTTTGGAGCCCGAAAATTAGGTTTTTAATTTTTAATTTTTATAATTAATTTTTAATTTTATTTAACAGAAAAACGTGATATTCATAATTATTGCTGAAACGTATCCAAATCATGCCGAATCGTTGATTGATAAAGTCGACAAGTGTGGACGAGCGTTCCCGTGCTTATGCATCCACGCTCGCGAATGTCGATGTGTGTAAATACGATCGAGCCTCGGGCATATCGAGCCTTGACTATGCACGTGTTTAAAAAGTCAAACGTAGCTATTTAAAATCAGTGTCTCCTGAACGTATTGCATCTTATATGTGAATTGTGATTGAAAATTGTGCAATTAAGACTTAAGTACCTAGACTTGATTGCAAATAGATTATTTTGGATTCATAGTTAATAATTTCTGGAATTCCTAAAATAAAAATATAAGTTTTTTATAACAGGATTACATTATTTAATTAAAATAGTATATAATATAAAATACCACAAATTGTGATGTTGTTTGTGATAGTGATACTGAGTAAAAATAAATTTAATTGAAGATCATTTTCTTCTTTCTTTTTTAGTACGTGGTCTTTAAAATGAGTTCCTATAAACATTTAAGTGGAAGTGAAAAAAGAAAACGAAAAGCAGATCGAGATAAAGTGGCAAAACAAATGAAAAGATCGTTGGACAAATTTTTAACTGTCGATGGAGAACAATTAGAACAATCGTCATCATTTTCACAAATTTCACCTGCTCAAACTCCAGAAACATCATTTGTATCCGAAACTATTCTGCAAAAAGACCAGCAGGAAAAACCAAGCAATTCCGTTTGTGAAGATGAAACAAAAGGAAAAAATATAAATTTAAAATCATCTCAAAGTAATGATGTTTAAAGTTTTGTAAACGATATTGCATTATGGCCAGAATACTTAACAGACGCCATGCGAGATATTATATAAAAAATCCACCAAAATCAATAAATGGATCTTTGGAATCATCTTCTATTAGATGCAACGAAGGGTCAAAACAAATCGCAAGAAAATTAACTATTGCCTCATTCTTTAGAACAATTAATAGCGGGGAAAAAAGTTAAAAGAGATGAGTTGGTTTATACAGAAACCAACAACTTATTGTACTGTTACGTCTGTAAATTATTTTCCAAGCAAACAACGCTAATGACAAAAGGGATGGATGATTGGAAAAATGTACATAAAAAATTGTCAGAGCATGAAAACTCCAGTGACCACATTAACTCCATTTTAATTTTTATAACAAGATCCAAAATTAACGGACGCATTGACACTGAACTGGAAAAACAAATTATAAATGAGGAAAAAAAAAAAAAAAAAAAAAAAGATATTGGAGGGAAGTACTTGAACGTGTGGTAGCAACAATCAAATTTGTTTCTTCATACTCTTTAGCGAACTTGAGTTTTTTCTTGAACTTGAGTGTTCAGCCGGGGGGGGGGGAAATGTTCAGTTTTAAAAATGTTTATGCCTTATTTTATCTTTTTCTATAGATGGAGCTGCCCTCGCGCCAGATGTTTAATTCGTAATGTATTTTTTAATTTTGCCGTGTGTTTGTGGCAACAGATTTAAAAAAAAAAAAAAAAAAAAAAAAAAACAAACGACTAGTATTCGATTCTAAGAAAGAATGAACTCATTGTAAACAATTCTAACAGCTGATAAAATCAAAATCTTATTCAATTCTTTGAGTCTTTTTACTGTGTCAAATTCAAGTATTTCCAGGTAACTACAGTGTCTCACAAAAGTGATGGGACACTTGTGCTTTACAAAAGGAAACTGTAATAAAATTAATTAAAAACACATGTAAACATTTTTGTGGGTGTGTTTCATACTTAAATTTAACAACAATTATTACATAACATACACTTTCTCAAAATATTAAAATATTAATTTAATAAAAATACAATTGTTTAGATCGGAGCAAAAAATGGCTTACATAAGTGAGGGGATACTTACTTTTCCATCAAATATTTATCCAAAAATTTTACTTTTTAAAAGGTTTTAATATTTTGTTGGATTTCCTTTTACTTTTAAAACATGATTTAATCTTCTTGGAATGGATTCGACTAATTTTTTTTGTAATTTCTGGAGTGGTTTTACCCCATTCTTCTTGAAGCACCGATTTTAATTGTTGTTTTTAAGAAATGGTGTGTTTCGTAATTCTTGATTCCAATTCTTACCAAATATTCTCTATGGGATTTAAGTCTGGAGATTGTGGTGCTGTTTTTATTATTTCAGGACAGTTATACAGCAGCCAGAGTCTAACGTTCAAAGCAGTGTGTTTGGGGTCATTGTCCTGGCAGAATTTAAAATCGTTGGGATTAGAATTAAAAATCGTTTTAAAATGTCAATATACTTGTATTGATCCATTATACTGTCAATAAAAACAAGATTACCAACTCCAGCGGACGACATACACCCCCATACCATAACTCTTCCTCCACCATGTTTTACTGTTGGCATCAAGTTCTGTTTGCGAAATTCTTCCCTGAGTTTTCTCCACACCAAGATTCTACCGTCAGAACCAAATATATTAAATTTACTCTCATCAGCAAATATAACTTCATTCCAATAACCAGATTTATGTTGGATTTTGCGAAAGCCAGTCTGAGTTTTCTATTCTTTTCACTTACGAAGAATTTTTTCTTGGCTGCTCTACCGTGGTATCCAGCAAATCGAATTACTCTTCTAATAGTCTCAGGATTAACAATTACTCCATATAATGCTTGTAAATCAGCAGCAACTTTAGGAGCACTCATTCTTGGATTTTTTTTAATATTTCGAATGATAATTCGCTTTATTCCATGGGATAGCTTTGATGGTCGGCCAGGTCTTCTTTTATCCTGAATCATATGATTCTTTTTATATCGTTTAATTATACTGAAAACTGTTGAATGACTCAAGTTAACTGTTTCAGCAGTTTCTCTAATAGATTTTCCATGTTCAATATGCAAATTAATAACTAATTTTCGAATTTCAGGCAAAGTTTCTTTTCGTTTAGCATTCATGGCTGCACAGAGCTAAAAAACTAAAAAACACAAAACTTCCAAAACAAACTGGAGAGAAATACTGCAGACGATTTTATAAATTATTGCCAATTGATTTTGAGTAAAAATAAAAAACCCCCAAAAATATCTTTATTGTAGTACGTAGTAGTATCTAATGGTGTCCCACCACTTATGTGAGCCATTTTGCTCCGTTCTAAACAATGGTTTTTTTTATTAAATTAATATTTTAATATTTTGAGAAAATGTATGTTATGTAATAATTGTTACTAAATTTAAGTATGAAACACACTCACAAGAAATGTTTACATTTTTTTTAATTAATTTTATTACAGTTTCCATTTGTAAAGGACAAGTGTCCCATCACTTTTGTGAGACACTGTATAAGTCGATGAAAATTCAAGGTAAGCTATTTAATAATTATCAGTTATTGAACTTACCAACAAACAAAAATACATTTTATTAACTTGTCATCTGATCAGTGTGCATTCAATCTATTACGAACAAGTACGCACGCAACAATATTAAACTCTTAGCACAACTGTTAGCACTCTAGGCATAGTCAGTTTCCATCCTTAGTTTCCTATAAAGTTAAATTTCGCAAAAATTCTCTTCCGGATTCTGCGATGATTAAACAAGGGTATACGAGAAAAAGTCATCTCTGAATTTTTAAAAGTCTATAACAAAAAAACATTCTATAAAATAAAACATTACTGCAGTAAACAGGTACACATGAAAGATTTCATGAATATTCTATCTGCAGTGAAAGAATCAATTTCAGGATTTGATCGTAACGATCAAGAAATCATGTAAAAAATAACCTTTTGTGGACTATAACTGTAATCTGATAATAAAATAGATAATGAATCAAACTTAACTTGCTAACTGTAGATGCTACAAATTTATACTTCAGGAATACTACATTTTTGTATCTTACGAAAATCTTAATTTATTACTTTTAAGGATAATGCCTTATTTTCGCTTTTCTCGTGCAATAAATTCTCGTGCAATTGCACGATGCCTTATTTTCGCTTTTCTCGTGCAATAAATATAAATATTTATCGCACGAGATTATATGTTCAAAGAAAACAGTGCACTTAATCTTCATTCACTACCATCATTGAAAACTTTACATTCCAAAACAAACTAAAATTTGTCCAAAATAAAGAAGTAGGTAAAAAAAATCTATTGACAAAAAAGGAATATAGAAAGGTAAAGCATATATTTATTTCAGTTAGATATTAATTTTCACTATTGTGCTATCTTCCTATTGCAACTTTATTCTAGTTATATTTGTTAGCACCTCTTTATTAAAACAACTACTGCATAATCAGACGATGTTTTAAATTTACTTGGTGAAACCAAGGAAGTTGGCAAACTGGCAAACTTTGAGATTAAATTTCCTAATTATAGCGACTACCTTCGGTGGTCACTTTATTAAAAAAATACCTATTTATTATCTAAAACGCAAATTAGGAATATCTAACAGTATTTTATCTTATGAAATACTTGGTAAAAATCTCTATAATGTATCAGGTTACTGAACTCTGTAATGAATAGGATATTTCAGAAATATATGCTTGAATTAAAAGGCTGTGGTAACTTCATGGTCCCTTTTCTATATTCTCTGAGATAATGAATATGGCAGAAACATCACTATGGCATAAAATACACATTGATTACTACTAAGATCAATTAAGTGATTGAAAAAAAAAGAAAAGAAGAATAATTGCCACATCATTACACGTCTGTATTCGTTCTCTTCCGTTCTTACTAGATTGGATACTCCATCTAGGTGGCCGCATTATGAATCGGCCGCATTATGAATCTACTAGACTGAGTGTTTATCTAGATCATGGAGGTAAAAAAGGACTTCTTTACTTCCTACCTTCATGATCTAGATGGCCCATCAGCGGCCGAGCGGTAACGTCGCTGAACACTGGTACTTCGGTCCGAGGTACCAGTTCTGTTCGAATCCCGCGAACGGGCTGGCTGCATGGGCGTTTTCGTGGTTTTCCCATGTATAACGTGTATACGAGCCAGTTTCCCTTAGAAAGTCCTCCACGAAGGCATCCCTTCCTTAAGGCAGATAGCTCTGGATTGCTTTGCGGTAATGTAATAAAACCAAAATCAATCATGATCTAGATGGCGCATTGGGTACATCGAATAGTTTCATAATTCAATTATAGTTACAGTTGCATGACCATTTCCTAAATGAATGTAGCTTCTCGGACGTATCCTTCGACACGTTGCCGAAATTTGCATAGAGCTGTTTTAACACTTGAAAACTGAAATTCTTCATTTTAAATTTAAGAAAGTGGAACATTTTCTTCTTTCTTTCTTGTTTATGCAACAATTTATTTATTTACTTATTTTTTGGCTAAAGAGTTTGCTCTGTCAGGGTTAACATAAAGGAATTTTTTCTTCTAAAACCACTTCTTCTTTGCTCTTAAAAACGCCTTTGCAACTTTTAATTCTTTCATTATGCAAATCCAATGAACTACATTTTCCTAATTTCTATTCCGAATTCGATATTGATAAACTTTATAAAAGTTTTTTCCTTTTAGTTTCAATAATGTCTAAAACATCCATGTTGATTAAGATAAGATTCAAAAATAACAGCTAATATTGTGACAGAATTACTAATAGAATAAAGATTTCCAGAGGTGCCTGAAGACTAACAACGCCAAGTCAAAGACTAACTTATTTGCAAAGAAACTGCCCACCTCTTGTTGATGACTTATCGTGACATCCCCAGAGGAGCTGTGGGAGGGGGATTGTACTCTCCGATTTCGCGGGGACAGGAAGAATTTTAAAAAACGAGGAAAGAGGAATTCCGGAAACAGAACTAATTCCTTGTAATGCAAGGAGATGTTGGGTATAATCTCGCAAGCAACGTATTGTTACTGAAAATCTAGTCTTATAAGCATGCATAGATATCAGCGTAGTTTTAGGGATTTAAAGCGAGGGGGGGGACGTGTTTTTAAATTTTAAGTGTAATATATCTTAAATCATTTTATAAATATATATATATACGTACAAGCGCGAACAATGCCCTTCATAGACGATTCAGCGCCGCTAGCCTAATGCGCATGCGCGACTAAACATTGAGACAGATTGGTGACAATAATTAATATCTGGTGACAAAACTAAAATTTTTCTTCTGGTCTTACTTGACAAAAGGACAATGAAGGTGCAGAAAGACTTAATTCAATATTCTGCTAAGTTTCCAATGTAAACAAATATGGCTGCTATGGTAAGAAAAATTGGTGTACGGAAAAAAGGAAATGGAAAGCATGTCCTCAGAAAATAAGGAACAGAAAAAATGTCACCCGGAAAATACGGAACGGAAAAAAAGAACTTTAAAATCTCGCCAAATATTATCTCCAATCCGAGTTGGGGAACACAGCCAAATTCTCATTTAACTAGGAGGGTTATAGCGGGCCGTCTCGAGGGAGGTGTTGACGCTGAGCTAGCTGCACCTTAACCAAGGTTACTTAGAATACATTTTTTTTTTTTTTTTTTTTCTTTTCTTTCTTTCTTTCTTTTTTTTTTTTAAGATGCCTTTGGGAAGATTTCATTTCTCCCCCACTTGTTCTAAAACAGGTTTGTTTCCAACCGTTCTAGAAAGAGATTCAGTTTCAGGGTAGGTCCCCCAGAAGAAAAGAATTAATGGAGAAACACTTTTTCTGCTCTAACGTATTAACTTTTTCTGCTTACCGTCTGTGGAACTAAACGATTTCATCTGTCCCTGACTTAAAACTAATAGTTTGTTCACAACTCGACTTAGTCCCTTATTTATGTTGCCGTTAAAGGCCTGAAATTCACTGTTTCATAAAATAACTACTATATTTCATGAATTACCTTAATGAATCAATTAAGTATATACAATTACTGGATTCTACGATATAACTACTTATTTTATAGAATAACGATGGCCTAATTGTTATAAAGTATTAGTAAATACTTTCATTATTGTATTAGAAAATGTCTGATCTTTAGCAAAGATGGCACGCGAAAGCTGCTTCATTGAAGGCAGTATTAAGTAACCTAATTTTTTTTTATAAGTTGTATAAATATAAATATAACTATCGGTGAAGTATAGTCTGTTATTTTTTATTGTTGTTTAATTAATCTAGCAACAATATTTATTATTAATCCAAAGGGGCTTAGTCAATGAGAGACTATAGTTTTCGTTTTGCAATTTTGTGTCGAATCGCTCTGAATGTCCATTTCACTTTTCAAACTCTTGCCACCAAATACTACCGCTCTGTATTATATTTAAAGAAATTAAATAATGAAAAATCTGCATCAATGTATGTATGTGTTTCGCATTGGGATAAAACAACGGTACCTAGAGCCATCAAATTTTGAATAGCGCAATCCTCTACCGAATATGGTTTTGGTTTTCTTTATTCTATCTAGGTGGTCAATAATGCTGTTGAAAAGCTAAGACACAGCTTCGTTCATTTCCTTCGGAACTGCAAATTCTGTAGGTTTATTAGGAGTTCTTTTCCTTTTGAATTTCTTCCGGTACTCTTCACAACCTCTATAGCTGCAAACGTGGTCTTTTTTACAGAAAATACAAGTTGGTTTATCTTTTTTTTTCAGTGCGCAGATATTACTTCGGTGCGGCTCGCCGCATTTGCAGCACTTTACCTGATTTGTACATAGATGCGCGAGTGTCCCCACTCCTGACATCGGAAGCACTGCAATGGTCATTTCCTTGGATTAAACTTCTCGATGGTAACGTTTGCGTTGAACATGATATTTAAATTATGAACTGCACATCCACTTTTATTGTTCTTAAGTTCAAGTAGCCATATGGGAAATTTTTCAAAATTGTTTCTGCGGCTTCTGCTGAACTGTTTTACTTTAAGTATCGGGAATTTGCGTCTTTTCAGATCAGCCTGGATTACGCCCTCTGAGATATTGTCCGGCAAATTCTTCAGTATGACTCTTAATGCTTCAAGTCGCTAGATATGAAAGGGTACTGCTCTATGCTGTAGCATTTTTGTGACATCTTTATATTCATCTACTGTCTTGACATTTACGTAAATCGTTTTTACTTTAGTCATAACTTCAATTTCGTTCGTAGAGATTTTCCTGATTTCTGCCTTTATGTTCAGCCAATCAATTTTCTCCTGTTGAAAAACAAGAGGAGGGTGTTTCATATTGTCTAACTCCTCCTTCTCAATTCTTCACCGTAGTTTCTAAGTATTCAAATCTATTCTGCTGCGAAATTTCCACTGGTTATGCAATGACTTTACTTTTGCAGTTTTTCTGGGTGATGTCCAGGGGCCTCCTTGTTCCGAAACAGCATTTTTTTCCTTTTCGTTCTTCTCTATCGATTTTGCTTGGTTTTCTTCGATGTATTGCTGAACTTTGGGGTCTTCATGTTCTTGTGACAGCTTTTTGACTTTTTTCAATCCGATTTCTTTAACTAAAGCGTACTGTTTCTTTAGACTTAGGAGATGAATGTTTTCAAACCTGCTATTATACTTCTGTGAGGTTTTTGCTCTTTTACATTTTTTCTTCGGTGACTTTACAAAATCTTCCTTTCTCAGTGGTTGCGACTTCGTAGATCTAAAAGATTTGTTCAAAGCCGTATCTGAGTCCGTCATGTCGTTTGGTGTCCTAAAAAAGGACATTGCTCTGTAGCCTAGGGTACCTAATACAGATCGTTAAAATATTTTAAGCAAGAATAACTAGAACTTCGCTTCCCGCCTACGTGATTGGGACAACTGCATCTGAGTGATGAGTGATTCAGTAGCGTCTAGCCCTAACATCCAAATTCCACTATAGCCGGACTTAACAACTTGAGAAAAAAATAAAGTTTTCTGCCGGCAATCATCTGTTGTGTTCCTTGTAGCGATGTAGAAATGAGAGTACATGTATAAGGTATTTCTCTCGCTTTCCTAGCGTGTATTCGTGGTGTAGTGGTCAGCACACTGAGCCGGTATTTCAGAGGTCCGTGGTTCGATTCCTGGCGAAGGCTATTGCATATTTTTCATCTTTCTTGGCTTTCAAAAAAAATCCTAATGATCTCATGATCTGGTCCCGTAGATCCGATCCGATCCGAACAATTTATGCTGACATAGCGCACGAAGAGAGCTGTTTCCAGCTCGTGAAAAGTTGCCTTGAAGGCACATGACTTTACAGAGTCCGTCGTGATAATTTTGGAGGATTAAGGTGTAAGTAGAAGGAAGGCAACCAAGAAGTCACAAGGCCCAAAACAGACAGAGCAAGAAAACGTACAAGACGGAGCAGTGCAGTGAGCAGATCATAAGTGTATGTATTGAAACACTGTGAAAATACAAATCATGACAATTCGAAATTGTAGGCGGAATCTCTACAAAATCACAGCATATACATTTTATTAATACACTAATACAAAATACAAACTGAAATAAATGAAATATTAGTGCGGCACCCGTCCGTGAAGAGGTTAAAGTTGGGTAACAACAAAGATCAGAGACTGAGTATGAAATGCCACCTTTTGACTTCCCGAGGCTCTGCTGTCTTTCTTACCTGAAGTTTGAGAAGATGAACAATATATACACCAGATTATTATCTGCGAGGAATCAAGAAGCATGGCGGAAAACTGTTTATGACATGATTGTTTTTTGATAAAATGTCTGGGTCTACTGTCTGCATCATCTTTGACCCTCTTCAAGATTCTGCATTAGGAATCAAGAAATGATATGAATGATTTACCCTATTTTTAGGGTGGTTAAGAAGAGCGAATAACAAACAGACGAACCAAGCTACGTACTGTCAAACACTACCCCGCAATTACAATCACTTTACATTCCTGTATAACTATGACGTTGGGTATAACTCAGAGATTTACATGTCATAACATGCACTAGATTAGACTTATCGATTCGTTGCTAAATGTTCGGCATGAAATCCCTCTTACCTCATTTACTTATGTTGTTGCTATTTATTTTATTTTTTGGCCGTGGTTTACCGTTTTGGGAGTCAAATTCGAGTTATTGCTCTTGCTATTCCATCCGTTCATAGCTCTTCCATTTTAAATAAAAACCTTCTTAAAACGTGAATTTCAATAACGATCGCCTCGCCATTTCTAGAATTTTTGTATTTCTCGATGTTCCAGTTAACAATTTCAGCATTTATAAATTTCTAAAAGTCATTATGATCTGACATTGTACCGAACAAATTAATAGCAAGTCCTTTAGCTGACTACTCAACAAATCTCTAGCATAAACTGCTAATAATATTTTTTTGTCATGATAATACAGTTTATTCTTGTTGTGTCTTTTAAAGTGTCTTTGGATTAACCGTAAGTCTAAGTTAACCACGGAGGTAGTACCCAAGTATTAACCTCGTTAAATAGCGGGCATGACCACCACGGTTAACTCAAAGTCCCTGGTTAATCGGGACTCATTGTACATTGAATGATATATTCTTTATGTAATTGTAAAATTGCTAGTAGGAAACCTAAGGAGTTAACTATAGCTATGTTTACGAATATGTTTTATTGATAACAAAATTAGAACATCATATTATTGACTAGAATAACATTGAACTATTCGGAAGATGGATATTTTCGTAATTTAACAATTTCATAAATGAATTTTAGATATGCAGTTTTATTAATTACACTCTCAAAAAATTGAAATTTTGTTTGCAAGACCAAAGAACATGTAGAAATTGTACATACACATTTAGACGATATATTCCCTTGCACACAAATTGAATAATGGTAAAACATAATTGCTGATACCAAACTATGCGCGCACACATACCATTAATTTCAAATTACATTAATACTATAAACTAACATTAAACTGCATTATTTTTTCAGGTATATTATATTTTATCTTTATTGCTTACATAATATATTAATATTATATATTAAGTAGTGTCATAAAAAGACTATAATTTATTTATTTTCTTAATAAATAACAACGAAATTATTTAAATTTGAATTTTTACAGCTCACTTATTTCAGCTGAAATGTTAAATGCATTCCATAAAGCCCCATTCCGAATTTCTCATAGTGGAGTTTCTAGGAGAACATAAGTATAATACGTCAGTGATGGCCGTACCTTTAGGTACAACAGGATACTATTATGAATTAGTCATGATGGAATCTGATTACAATTCATTTGAAATACAGCTTTTCCTATGGTTTAGAAATATTATTAGCTTCTGCGATTCAAAAAATGCAGAAAACCTTTTACCTGAAATGATGAAGATTTACCGACAGTTTAAAACACATTTCTCATTTCCTTTGCGAGAGTACATTCTCATGGAAGGGATTGTTGAATTATGTTATCGGATTAACGTTTCAGACAGCATCTTGGTCAGTCAGGTACGTATTAATGACAATATTTTAAATTTTTAGATTTTTATCAAAACCTAAATCTTTGTATATATGGTATTTTGCAGTCGTGAAGCTCGGCATCAAAGTTCAGGCATGGCTTTTTGCTGAATGGTAAGGAGGATATCCAAAGACGACACAAATTGATTTAGCTTTTCATTGCCCATTTTTATTTACTCCAATTAGCAGATCATTTTCCTTTCAGATGACACTCTTTAAATTACATATCCATAGTGGTATATGGATATGTAAGTATTAAGTATGGTTGAATTTAAACTTTATGCGTCATAACTAATTCTAACAAAGGAAGGAAAGATGGACAGGGCAGCGCAGAGTCTTGTATCAGCGAGATTAGGAAGCAATCTGACTGAAAAATGGCGCGCACTCAGTATTTATAGTAGCGGTTACGTAATAGGCTAACATATTCTAGAAGGTACTGGTCTAGAGGGAAGATCCTAAATTGCAGAAAGTTAATTAAAGGTTGCGTGTTCGCGTAGAGCAAAGCCATCGTATTTTTTTTTTATATTTTACATATATATATCACGGAAGCTTTGTTATCGACACGTCCGGCACTCTTATTATGACTTTGCTTTCAATTAAATTTATGCAAGTAGCTTTCCCTTAAGCCTATGCAAAATCTTGTTACATGTAATTAAATACAATGATGATATTTATAACAATTACATGGAAGCTTTTGTTCCATTGTCTCCTGTTTTATTAACAATTTTGTTGCCATCCAGAAGTATCGACATATTATTAAGAAATAAGCTCACATTATTTTGCTGATAAATAAAAAAATATTATTTCGGTTTCAAAAATACACCAAACATTCGTGTGGCTGTTAATGATGCACAAATTTTCAATGAAGCCATTTTATTTTTCTTTTCCATTACAGCTTATGTGATAATGAAATTTTCTAATAATAAGCAAGCAGTTTCCTTCTCAGGACTCAAATGCAGCGGTCATCACAGCTCTTTCCTGAAATGTTGGTGATTTGTTTGAGATCAAATATTTTCAGGTCAACAATATTATAGCAAAAGAAGCCTGTAATATTTTTACTGTTACAGAATCTGGTGTTTGGTGTTCTTAGATTGCATAAACTAGACTAAAACTCTAAAAAAAACGTAAGTGACATTTAGCTTATTACCCACAGAGACAGAAAAAGGAGGAAAATACCCTTTTATTAACTGAAGTAAAAGTGTAACAGATGGCATCAACTCGAATTTACAGAAGTCAATGGTTGTAGCTTAAATCAAAGATAATGGATTCACCAAAACTAAAAAAGTAAGTTAACCTAACGGCTGTACACATAGAATAACGCGCCAGCTGTCTCTGATCTAAGGTCAGCCTGAGAAGCCTAATGGCAAGAATAACTTAACGTCGTAGACTACTATTTGCAAGAGAACCAAATTAGCAACATGGTCTTCAAGCAGACAGAACAAGCAGATTTAGTGGGTAGAATAATAAAACTACTTTCATTTAAATAGTCTCTTCTTTCTGCCTCATTTGAATATCACACGAGCTAGAAATTTACATACGGGCATGAAAATGGAAAGAAAGCGAGAGGAAAGTAAATGACCATAAAATAACTGGTTAGGAACTTAACTCTGAAAAATGAACAAATAATGGAAAAGTAAACCTTTAATTAACACAAAATTGCACATGAAAATAACAATTGTCTTTATGCCTGAGAAAAAACAAGGATTGTCTGCAGAGATGAGAACACTAATTAATTTTTGTAAATTAATATGATGACATCACATTTTGGTTACTAACAAATTGATGTTAAAGCTAAAACCAAATAAGGAAGCTTACATTAACTTGCATTAATAAGTTATGTGACCACCTAGTTTTTCCCACACAAATACTGCAACGATTGTTCATGCTTTCAATAAGGTAGGTGATCAGTCACCGCAGATGCCAGCAATAGCTAGTTCTCCATAAGGGCAGTTTTCATTTATCTGAGACTGTTTGGCGGACGAAAACGTGCGGAGAAAGCATGCTCGAGAGCATTCCAATGATTTTTATTGGGATTAAGTTGGGAGGAAACACAAGATTACGCATAATTTGATTACGCAAGATTACGCATAATTTGATTTGATTTAATTTATTGACTCCAGTCCTGAAATGCTTATACTCTCCGGACAATCATTAACGACGTTGACTGAATAGGAAAAAGCATTATTATCTTTAAAGAGGCCATCACAGAACCATCTTTAAATATCTACAGCTGAGTGCGATACTTATTGAAATTCCAGCTCACAGCGTGATGCTGCCACGTCTGATCACATAATGTTCTATGATGTTCTGGGCCTAATTCCATGCACCTTGTTCTTTCCAGACTCTAAATACTCATTTAATTTAAGGGAACTTTGAAACTAGAAAGGAAAACGAAAGCGAAAACTAAGAAACGCCAGGGAACTTTGATGGCTTTCAAAGAAATTAGTTTCATGTGCTGAGGAAATTTTTCTCTTAAAATCTTTTTGAATGATACTATCACCTAAGCTGTTTAATTGTTTTACAGAATGCAATGTATATCTGCTTAATTAGTTATTTAAGAATGAGTGGCAGTTTTCCCATTAACGAAGCCGTACAAAATTCGGGCCTGCTAGTGTAAATGAGCGTTTACATACTTATCATCTGATTCTAGGCGAAATCTAGACTCGCTCGTAAATAAGACGTTGCATCAATTGGAGATATCACAAATGAGATGTTGACTGCACCACTTTAATTTTTTTCCTCTGGACTGGACGATTAGTGGAACACGATCATTTGGTACTCGGGTGCACAGCCTTTCATATGAATCCCTCCATACAGTGTGCTGACAGGAGTTGTCTTACCAAACGACCCTGCAACAATAGATATATCAATTCTGGAAATCAGCGGTCGATTCCGCTTTGCTGCTATAGCGCACACTGAGCTTTAGAAAGAGTTTTGACCATTGGTCGACCGGGAACAAGTCTTCGAACAACTGGTTGATTTGTTTGGAATGTTTCTACATTCGAGAAGTTAAGGAAGGACCAAGGCCAAGAAAAGAGCATCATTTTTTATTGACCATCTTGCTTCAATGTGTCCTAGAGCACATCAGAGCTCACTATCTGCCGCTTTTTTTCTTTCAACCAAAGAAACGCAAAGATGACCAAAAATTATTCTTCGAAAGTTATAAACACTTCTTATTAGTTTTTAATGAACTTTCTCAAAGCCTTCGGAATATTGGCGTTTTCAGCGACTGTCAGCCTATGTTAGAAAAGTCAATCGTGATTGACTGTAACATACGATATCTGCATATTGCTACATGCATCCGCAGAAAGTTTTAGCCAATCAAATTCAACTACACTTTAGGAAATTGTCAATTTGTACTGCGTGTTTAACTTTTGGAAGCCAGTGTATTTACGCTTGATCGATCTAAACTTTCAGATTCTGATAAGCAATGTGATAATAGAATCAATCAACGTTTGTGCCAAAGACTCCATCTCTAAAGGAAATATCTCAGGGCCTTTCTGGACTGTTGAGGTAACTGCCTTAAAAGTATCGCAATTAAGCGCTACCTCAGGCTGAATTTTCTAACAATGCCAAAAACTGTGTGGTCGTTCGTTGTATATAAACCGCTTTTAAAAGAACCGTTAACAAATGAAAAGGAAAGACTTCAGGTATTTGGCTGCTAATCATAGTTTCAGAGAAGATGTTAATCTTGCTCACCATTTGTTCTCGTCATTGAATAAGGAAGGAAACAAAATAAAAAATGTAGGTAATGGAAGCTTTTACTTTCACAGCAGCCTTTGATTTTGCCATACCCTATAATTCTACTTCTAGTTATTCCATAAAAGACATGCAAAATTAGTGATAGTTTTTAGATATCTGACAACTATAGGTAATATTAAAAACTAGATATAGACGAGCTAAACAGAAATTCACAGAACAGCAGTAGAAACATGCATGGTGTCTGGAAACTTATATTATCATCTAAAGCCCGAGCTTAGATCTCCTGTTTTATATGAAATCCTTAAGGCTGGTGAAAAATGAGTATTTTATACAGTGAATAAATGGGAATTGCCAAAAATTATGTTCAAACCCGACTTTGATTCACAAAAGTTTCTGATCTCTATTGTAGTAGACTGCAAAGATCGTGCTGCATTTTCTGCTTTTCCCACGTGACTAAATAATCAAAGTGACATAATGCCATTCTATGTACAATAAGCACAACTGACATAATGTCGTTTTGCTTACAATAATCACAAGGGATATAACAGTGTACAATAATCACAAGTGAAATAATGCTGGTTAAATATCACTGGGCATTAAGCAATAAACCAACTAATTGGACTTAAGATTACGCGTAATTTGATTTGATTTAATTTATTGACTTATGGCAAAGCACACGAGGACTATCTGCCTAAGAGAAGGGATGCCTTCGTGGAGGATTTTATAAAAGAAACTAGCTCTAATACATATGAGCATACGAGCCCTTACATATGCGGAAAACCACGAAAACGTTCATCCAGCCAGTCCATTCGCCTTAATAGAATCCATGTCGGAACTACCAGTATACAGCGACTTTACCGCTTGACCGCTGGTGGGCCCAAGATCGCGCATATACCGTAAATGTTGCGACAAACTTCTAGGGGAGCTAGTGCACATCATAAGGATTAAAAATTGCATAGAAACCTATACTCGGAAATGTCAGGAGTAAGTGGTAGCAGAGGAAGAAGATGGGAAAGGAAACAAGAGTGATTAATTTTAAACATTCAAATACAAATGGTGTTACAAATGGTGTTTCGACAGCTTGAATGTTACAACAGATGCTCGAAGTTTGCACCATCAGACGCCAAACATGCCTGACACCGACGGACCATTGATTGTCGAACATGTTCAAACACACCGGAAGTTTCTTTGATTGTAACAGCTGCGAAGTGTTGCCACGAGATCCATTTCAGACACAACAGGATCGTGATACACAACACTTTTAATGGCTCCCCGCAAAAAGAAATCAAGGTGGGCGTGGGGGGCCAGGGAACCGGCCCACCACGCCCAAACCATTGATGCGGAAATGATCTGTTCAAATGGCTATAAACTTCCAGTCCAAAATGAGCAGGCGCCCCATGATGTTGGAATCACATGTTTTCCTCATATTTGGTGGTCATCAAGCAAGTCGGGAAGAACCTGCTCCAGAAAGATCAAGTAATTCGCGGCATTCAGATGGTCCGTTGGTGTCAGGCATGTTTGGCGTCTGATGGTGCAAACTTCGAGTATCTGTTGTAACATTCAAGCTGTCGTACACCATTTGTATTCATGTCCAATAAATTTTTCAAATTGATCACTCTTGCTTCTTTTCTCATCTTCTACCTCTGCTACCACTTACCCTTGACATTTCCGGCAGGGATTCCTATGCAATTCTTAATCCTTGTAATTTGCCCTACCTACCCTAGAAGTTTGTCGCAACATTTACGGTACACCCGGTATACAGACACCATATAAACACGTAAAACATCAGCGGACTGATATATGATCCTCCCTCGTCTGTGCATTCATCAGATTTGGTAGTCTCATATTTGTAGATATTTCGTCATTTAGACACTTTTAGAGAGGCAAACGATTTACTAATCAGGGTATCGTTATAAACTTGATATGCTTATAAATAATTTTTCTTCGTAATGTATGATGCCTCGGTAATGTATGATTTAACCGTTCTAAAGTTTTCTGTTTTTTTTATCTCGAGCCTTATTTTAATTTAATAGTGAGACATACGGTTTTTTTGTAACTCCAAACATGCTTGTGGGTGCTATACATGACTGATATTTTGAGATTGTTGCAAAAAGTGGGAAATGATTGCAATCTACAATTTTAAAAAATTGGCATTGTTATTCAACTGTCAGCTTTTCGATGGGATAATGAAAACATACAGGGTTTCGCTATTCCATAGGAATTAAGAATGCATGCAAGACCATTATAGATAATAGTAATCACTTTGTTGATGATGCATACGCTAAAAATGAAATTCTTCATATTACAGGCTATTAACCCTCTGGCTGATCATACCGCGATTTCCACGGGCAATTCAAATGTAGCAAAATTTGCTTATCCCGCGATTTCCGCGGGCATATGTTTTTATTCCTTTATTGAGGAGCGCATCCCGTTTTTCCCCGTTTATTCATTGAAATAAATTATATACAGTACTAGGTGTTTAGTTTACGTTTTGGGCAAAAGATATCGTTAGTTGCCCACTAAATTGCGGCATTTGAAGGCACGTGGTATTAGCGCTGACTTCACTTTTTGCCGCCTTTTTCTTACAGAAATGGCTGCTAGAAAATGTCCAGCGATTACCTTAATTATTTAATTAGAGTATTGAATTATTAATTAGATTGATTGAATCTGGGGCAAAAACTGTGAAGTTGGACTTTGCCTTGAACCCTGTTTTAAACTCTTATCATACTACTGCAGCATTTCTAAGGAATTTTCCCCTCAGCGATTTATATTTTCTTAAATTTTACTTTTTTATATTATGCAATAAATAGAAATTAACTGTAATTCGACTGAAATGTTTTTTTAAAAGTTTTTTTTTTGGGTGATAACACCTGAAATTGGTTTTTCTGGCAACTTACTTTCTCATGGCTGATCATAAAAATCTATATAAAAAATATTTTCTAGAAAGAAAAAGTGCATATTTCAATTCTTCAATATATATAGATTTAAAATATGAAAACACACACACACACACACAATTTTGGAAGCGATTTTGATCCACTAATTGAGCAGGCAGAGGGGTTAAGTACGAATTTCAGAATTACGCGTTAATAATCATTTTCATAAAGTTACAACAATCGGTATGCAGTTAAATTTTCCTACTCAAATGGCTTAAATGCAAAATTAATTTTAACCCATTTTATGAGAAAAATCTGCTAAAAGTTATAAAAGTTTTAATCCGAAGTTAAAATAATGCATTTTATGTAAAATCTGACATCCAAATAAAATTCCAAATAAAAAATCCTTTTTTTTTTTTTAGGTTCTAAATTTAGTTTACGAATGTTGTTCATCTTTAGGCCTTCTTCATCGCAAAGCATTGTCTAAAAATTGTTTGAGGTTGATAGGCTATCCTAAAAGAAGAAATGAAAAACAAAGTTTCTTGACATTTTTCCTGGAACACAGCCGGCGTTCGAAACTTCAATTCAAAGGAGAAAGAATGATTGATGTAAATTTTTATGCGACATTGAGAATGTCTCCTGTGTTCGTGGCAGCAGAAACAGGGAACTGGAAAACTGTGCTCACATATTTACAATTTGGAGCTAGGTAGGAATACATTATACATGTTTTTCTACTGTATATAACCAAGTGTAAACATTGCCAGGACAATTTCACAGTTCAACAATTATGGTACTCGTGATTTAAAAAATGATTTAGTTATATATATATTTTTTATTTCAACAAAAGTCTTAAAGTCATCAAATATTCAAATTATTCCTTCCTTTTGATATTTTATCATTTTCAGAATTAGTGTATTCAACTGAACTTCAGTTGATTGGATAATTCCTAAATTGAAATAGCTTATTTTCAAGGATCAGTAAATAGGATATTTATCTATTAAGTGCTTTGGCCGCTGTAGCTTAGGAGTCCGTCATTTTCTCTACTGCTATATTGTACGATCTGGGCATATTGCAAAACAGCATGATTTACATAACCCAAAAATGAAAGAAATGTGCACTAAGAAATTGAAGAAAATTGCCAATAAGAGTAGATGAGAGATAACGCGTCAGAAAGCATTAGCGTAAGTCCTACACGTAAAAAGAGGGGAGGCGAAGAAAAGACCAAATATAATAAGTAAGACAGCAATACTGCTAGATGAGAACTGGTATCTTGTTAATTACTTGGAGCGATAGTAATATCAGTCAATCGCTTTATCTATAAATCGTAAAAACTACATACATGAATACTATGCACACATTCCTTTTTCTTCTGCACATAAACATTCATTCTTGAAATATTAAAAAAAAAACTAAAAGCGCAATATGCAGATAAATTAATGCAAAAAATATTCAATAAGATTTCGTTATACAAAATTGCTGACACCAAGTTTAGGTTAACATAAGATACGTAGACATATATTAAAAATCTATTCATATTTCATGAAATGTTTTAGACATCTATTAATGTTTTATGGCATTACTTTGATATCTTGTATCGACGTTAATGTTTATGGAGAAATCATCACTTACTTAGATATTTTATATCGACATCAATATTTACAGAAGACACGACACATTTTGAAATCTTTAGATTACGTCGGATATATGAATCTTTACCTGGAAGCTGTGCAATTCTCACTGAGAATATAATGAAACAGTATGACATTTCTTTCTCTAATATTGCAGCAATAACTAGTATTTCAACAAGAAGAAAGCAAGCAATGACTTTTTCTAATGAAAGCCATCAATTATATCTGGCACATTGAATAGACGGCTGTTATATAGTTTACTTGTAACGGGAATAAAGTAAAAGAAATATTGGACGAAAAATCTGCAATCTTTTGTCAACAACCATGACAAAACTTGCGCTATCGGACATCTACTAATTGCTACACGTGTCTTAAGATTTCAGCTACTGTCTCCTGTCGATATTTTCTCACCTACAGGGCAAGGGACTGGTCTCCGTTACCGTGGTTGTTCTTAAACGATCATCATTAAATCTTTGAACACCTGTTTCGATAGTTTAAGCTCATGACATGATGCTATAATTAAGACCGAACATCCTGGCCACGTTAGTCACAATTTGACTTTCTTCCAGCTTTCCAATAATTCGATTTCAAGTGAAATCGTCCAGATCTTTCCTGGGCTCTCTAATAGCTGAAAAGTACAGTAGATGATTATTGGGAGTTCGACTAGGTTTTAAACCCCGGCAAACGCTCCGGCTACTTACGTTTCATGGTTTTCCTCGTATGTAACTTAAATATAAGACAGTTACCATTAAAAAGGTCTTCTACGAAGACATGCTTCTCTTAGGTGGATAGCTCTCGCCATACTTTGCCATAAACTGAGTAATACAATTCACTTCAATCCAGATGTTGTCCAAGGAATAGTCTGTTAGAATATCAAATGCGAGAGCAGCTCGACTTTATTCGAACCATTGTGTACTGTGCTATAGCTTTCGCTGAAACATTAAGAATATACCACCCTCGTTTTTATACTCTCACACAAAAGGACTCATACAGGTCTTTTCTATGACAGAGTAGAATTGATAGTTATCACTTCAAAGTACTAAGAAGGTTGAACACAAGGCAATACTAAGCGGGCCGCCCAACCGATAAAGTGCTTAGCATTGCTGACTGCCGTGCCAAAGGGCCCGGTTTCGAATTCCGGAGAAGGCATGGATGCTTGTAAATGTAATGTCAGTGCGGCATGGCGCACTCCAAATATGCGGCTAATCGAAAGTCCTCTCGTGCGGTCTGGTGGAAGGAGAGAGGTGTGAGAGACCCTCGGACCCGTTCCCCCCACCCGGGGTGCTTTCTATCAAAATTGGGGGCACAATTCAGCCAAATCACACTGTCACCTAGTGCGATTTGGCTCAAGGCTGTTGCCAACGACAAGCATAATCTTGAGCTCCTTGCCCCGAGAAATTTCGTGGGCTTTGGCTAACTACGTCAGACAAGTGAGCATAAGCAATAACAACAACAGTATTAAGCGCAAGTAAAAGCGAAGCTCTCTTGACAATCTTTCAGTACTCTCAATACTCAAAGGAAAACTGATTCTCTCTCATGTTTTAAATAGCTTTCCCGTCCGCCGAAAAAATTAATTCTCGAAATTGCTGGAAGGCATACACACAGTTACAATTACAGAGGAATAAGGCCTATTACAGTTACACAGGCATCGAACCAAAATGTCTTCAAATGGGCGCCAGCCTAGGCGACTTTTGGCAATTTCTCAACAAACTTGGAGACTAAAAATAGTTCCCCAAATTATCAGCAACTTGGCGCTCTAACCAGTTTGGCAAGATAGCCATTTAACTCAATATGAAATGGAGTTACCCCTATAACAATATTTTCCTGGCGATGCTTCGCATTCTACCGCCTTTCATGTTACATTACAAAAGAAAAACTACACTTTACGTATAATTTCATTAAAATAATTATACAAAATTCGTAACAATATGTATGTAATATTTTGGCAGGCAGGTACAGGAATGACAAAGCTTGGCGATATAACCACATCAGAGTCCGGGCGTTTTGTGGCTGAGTAGAAAGCTGCAAAATGACGACAAAGAAGGATTTTGCTTTTTAGATTCCACATCTTTATTCAATTCTCATCGCAGATCATTTTTCCTTTAGATGAAATTCTCCAAATTACATATTCAATAGTGATTTAAACTAAGTAATATTAAATTTAGAATTTCTATGTCATAACTGTTCTAACAAAAGGAAGAAAGATGGGATGAGCAGCAGCAAGGTCTTGTAGCAGTGGTAGAAGAAAGCAGTCTGACGAAAAATGTCGCATACTCAGTATTTATACTAGCGGTTATATAACATGCCAGAATGTGCTTGAAAGTACTGATCTATTGGGAAGATTCTGATATTGCGGAATGTTAATTATAGATTGCCTGTTTGCGCAAAACAAAACCATCGTATTTTTTATATTTTACTTGGATACATTGAGGCATTAAATATGGTATTGGATTATTAATACCATTAAATATGCTATTCTTATAAATGACCCTTTTAGCTATAAGACTTAATTTTCATAAAACTTTGAATTAATAAAATTGTTTAGTAAATACTCTTCATGTGGAAAATTTATATACAAAGTGAATCAAACATGACAGGCACTGTTTTTTTTTAAACCAAAAACCTTTACTGCAAATGAAGGAGTTGAACATGACACTCTTCAACATACTCTCGTCTGGAGGCGAGACATTTTTGTCAACTTTCTGGAAGCACTTGCATGCCTTTTTCATAAAAGTTATTCTATTCGCTGTTAATCTACTCCCGGACGCTGACGATAAACCACGTTATCCACAAACTTCACGCCTTCCAAGTGCGATTTAAGCCTGGGACTGGGGATTGAACTACTGGACGTACGTTTCATTGACGATCACTAAGGGAACTTGCATAACCTTCATCTTCAAACCGCTGTAGGGGAGAATTGGAGGCGTGCATGCGCACCACTTTGCTCGTTTGTCAACGAAGTCAACCAACATGGAATCCACTGGCAACACGCTTTGCTATAATGCAAATATTTTTATCACAATGTTTTCTTCTCTGCCAATATTGATTGAAAGCATCAACGCAAGTTCTTTGATAGTGATGCAGCTTTTCTCCGCATTTACACGATGAGTGAAACCACATTTACAGTGTTTGTTGGGGATCACGGATATTCTCTGCATGATCTTGCTTGTCAGTGAAGCATTTACACTTAAACGCATGGGTCTTAGACAGATTCTATTTCCCATATTGCGCTTGGGGTCTTGCTACATTTTAGTTGATTGGGCGTTTCATCGAATGAGAAATTTGATTCCGCGCTCCGAGGCAATTGTTGTTCACTCAACACTTGCACGAGTAAGCAAGGTCTAATCTGTATGGAAAGTGAGGGGGGGGTAGTGTCTGTACTCATTCAAGGACACACAACCGTTCGTTGTGCATGGGCAGTGGTTTGTAGCACCAACAGCCCAGGTCATATTTGGATCTCATCGTAATAACAGTTTTATAAAAAGGATTAAATAGGCAATGCAGTTTCCAGAACTTTTTCTACATATTTTTAAATTTACTTCTTCTGCGGTAGTAAACTAAATACTTCTGATACTGATTAAAATACTTATGTGAAGGATGCAATGGGTCGTATCACGAGTCACATCAATCAGTTAAGATCAAACTATCTGATTTACACTACTAAGTATAAATTATCTCATATGATTAGATATGAATTATAACTCAGCTGAAAATGTATCCTGGAGTTGCAAGATTCTAGTTTCGAGTTTCATCTGCATGCCAGACCGGGAAACGACCCGAGGATTACACAAAGGCATGATTAAACTATCCAGGACCGAAAAGATCCGAAAATTAACTATTATCTAGCTAATTCAGAAGTCAAACAACAAAAATCAGCGTTATATTTTCAAAATTTTCAAAAGACTAGTTTGGATGGTTTTACCGAACCGCCATCCTCAGCTGCAAAACCAATTAGTATTTATTCGGCGTGTTATTGTGTCTTAATTATTATCTAGCTATTAAAAAGCTTTTCAAAATTATCGTAGATATATCTCTGCTGTTTAGCTTTGCTGCGGTCACTGCATATAATTTAATGCTAACTTTTAGAATTTTTATAATATTTTTCACCGTTTAAGAACAACAATATCTTAAATTTTTCGGCGCCATACCAACTGGACTCTTTTTCCATTTAGGATAGAAGACGTCGCAAATCCTCTTTCCCCAATGTCTCATGAGCATCATCTGACTTTACACGATCTTCTTCGAAGTCTAATCGAGAGGCTTTGGGAAAAGCTTGTTCAGCCTTCAGTAATGTTAAGGAATCAGCGTGAAATAGAAGAATATTGTCAAAAGCTTGCACCAGCAGTTAAAAATCTCTGCAAAACATTCGCTATCATTCTGCGCGCTATAAGATGTCTGAATCGCGACTGTTTAGATTTCATGTTATATAAAGAAAGTGACGAATGGACCACGGAAGTATCGAGTAGAAGGATTTTGTATCATTCGACCATATTCATCATGATACCCTATCTGTCTAAACGATATATGCAACCAGATGAGCTTCAACATGGTTGCAGGTAAGATAGCAACAATATTTAGTTCATTTTTGTTTAAGAATTTTATTAATATAACTGCATATTGTTAGATACGACTCCTAAATTTTAATTTCATGAAAATGAGATAGGCGTTTCTTCAAAATATACATTCAAAATGTATATATCATTGATATGGATTTTTTTTACACTCAAACAACGGCTTCAAAATCTCCATTTTTCAAGCTTTATTAATGTTTCATTTATAATTCTTAAATGTTCTTAATACCCAAATTTTTGTTTAAACTGTTTTGATATAATACACAACAAATTGGTCTATGATTTAATTTTCGATAGTCTTCTCAGATTACCTTGCTGCTTATCAATTGCAGCGAAATAAATTTGCTTTGTTAATTGGTAAGCTTTAGTAATTAGTAAAGTTCAACGTTTGTTTAGCATTGATTTCAAATAAAAGATAGAGTGTGTTTTAAAGGACGAATACTATATTGTTTTCTTTCGTCTGCCACAGTGTGTTCTGCGTAAGCGAACAAGCGTGCCAACTTAAATATATACATTTACAATAGACATTTAGTGCATCTATTGAGGAAAATAGAAAGAGCTATTTACTAGAACTACATAAAACTCTTGGATATAAAACTCTCGGGCTGGAAATGGTAACTCAGATTGGAAAAGCCTGATGAGTTCGACGGCTTTCAAGGAAAATAATATCACAACCTATTGGCTAGTTGTATTAATTATGCAGGCATAAAAATTGGTTACCATTTTAATTATCAAAATTTAAGTTATAATATTTCAATTCTAAAATTTAAGGTAAAATCTGGGCCTGCTTAAGACAGATCAATTTGTTATGTCTGGTAATATTACACTTAGTTCATTAACCGTAAATTAGGATCCACTTTTAATTTTGTTCTGTATTTATTTTTTAAATATAACATGAAGGAAAATCCTTGCTTACACAAACACGTTGTGCAAAGAGGCAATAAAAAATTAATAGCTTTATTTAAAATGCCTTTAAATTCTTTTCTTCGGTTTAGACAAAAGTTAACAAGTGTACTATTTTTGAAATCTTCAGTTAGAGTCCGATCACAGGAAATTTCAATCAATTATTCTTTTTCTTCATGAGATAAAATTTGAAGTGCATTTGAGCAAAATGGATTTCTAATATCATTTTATTTTTCATAATCCTCAGGAAAATACATATTGAAATTATTTATCGATGAAAAACAGTGATTTTTAATGTCGGATGCTAATCCTTCTTTTATTTTCAAATTAATTTTGGTTGGAAAACTTTCTAAAAGTGTTAAGAATCTTAAAATGTTATTATCCAGTTCTTTGATTATTAGCTCGAGTTTTTTTATCATTGCATTTATTTTGTCTCTAATGGTAAAAAAATTAACACTTTGACCTTGTAATCCTAAATTTAATTCATTTAACGTTCCAAAAATATCAGTTAAATATGCTAAACGCGCCAACCATAATTCAATAAACAAACATTTTTGCAATTCAAATTTTGAACCACAAATTTGAAAATTTGAAATTCTGATTGAATATGAAATGATACCCTATCTGTCTAAACTTCTGACAAACTATTCTGATTGAATATGAAAATTCTTAATGAAGTACAATAAGACGATTAAAAACTTTGTCTCTGGATAACCAACAAGGATAACCAATATAACAAAACTGTTTCGTGTTCACTATCGTAATATTCTACCTCATAAAATCGTAAATATTCTTGAATTAAAAGCTCGGCTTTTAATAAAATTACCAATTTTCACAGCTTGATTCAAAACGATTTTCATGTTTTCGGGGATTGATTTGGCTGATAAAGTTTCACAATAAACGGAGTAGGGAGTAAATTTAGTTTCAGGTACGACTTTCTTTATTTGAAAAATAATTCCGGAATCCTTTCCTGTTAAAGCCCGAGCTCCGTTACTGCATACAGCAATGCACTTATTCCAAGGAATATCATTCTCAGATATAAAATTCGCAATTACTTTGAAAATTTCATTTGCATTTGCTCTATCAGAAGAGATTCAGAAAATAAACACGCTTCGGGAATCTGTTTATCTTCTTCGAAACGTATGAAAACTAAAAATTGAACCAAGTTCGTTACATCAGTACTTTAAGGGGACTCGGTACCTTTTGAATGACTTTTTTTATTTAAGTACTTTCATCTACTTTTTATGAATAATATTAAGTGGTTTTATGAGACAAAATGGATTTAAGCTGAAAAAACTTTTTTGCTATTAATAATGTTTAATTTGAATTAAAAAAAATTCAACAATTAAAAATTCTTTCTTCTTCCCCAATTTTCAATATTTTTGCTTCAAATTTTTTATTGTATTCATAATAGTGTTCTTAATAACTTTAAGGATCGATTTTTCAATTAATGAATTAGTTTGAGAAAAATGAAAAGCACATTTTTATATAAAAATTTTAAAAAAATATGATTTCAGTAACATTTTTACTTCCAATAATTTTTCTTTCTTTTCAGTATTTTTCAAATCCCATCCTTGATTCTATTTAGTATATAATTTAAATAAGCAGTAAATTTAATTAAATTATTTGGTCCATATATGAACAAGTTTTAGGACTTCAAGTAAAAGGATATATTAAAAAATTGCAAACTGAGAAATCGCAGTTTAAAAGAATGTAAACTGTCTAGACGGTCATTAATCATTTCCAATTTCTTAAAAATTTTATTACTGAATTTCAATACATATATATATTTATAATAAAACTGAGTAGGTGCTCAATTGATTAATATGAATATAAATTACAAGCTTTTGTTTAAAAACCTTATCTGGCTAGAAATATTGCAAAAATATCATAAAATGCAAGCAGAATTTTTCGTTACCTGTTTTGTTTTTTAAAACACGCTCAAACAATTTTAATGCATGAATTAATTATAATATATTTTATAAAACGCTTATAATCATTATTAATAATATTTAATTTGTCGTTTTATTCATTTTTAAAAAGCAAAATTTGAATTTTAACGGACATAAAACATTTTATTTAAACCACTCAGCAGCTTATGTGATTTCTTCTCTTATTTTAGCCATTTGTTCTCGTATATAAATTCCATTTTAAATTAATTTATGTGCATTTTAAATAATTAAAAAATTTAATGTTTGTTCCAGCACTATTTCAATAATGCTACGGTCAGAAATTTGATCACTTAACCTCTTCCTGTTCGTATCTAATCACAGATAATTTCAACTTTTGAATAAACATAGCATTTTTATTGACCGATAATACATATAAAATTATTTGCTGAGCTCAGTATAAATATATAAACTTTCCATTTTACAGGTGAAAAAAATTTTTTTTTCCAACTTTAATTTGTATTTAAATAAATCAGTATATACGCATAAATAGAGTTTTTTGATAGTTGGAGTCACATTTAATTACACTCCTCTTCATTTACATTGATTTTTAGTAAATTACTGAAAAAATTAAGAAGTAAAAATAAAATAAATAAATAAATAAATAAACACTGAGGGAGTGTGGCATTTAAAGGGGTGTCAAAATTTAAAAAACCTTTTTATAGCATTTATTATCGTCAGATCATTTCAAAATTCCTCTTCAGTGTAGTAAGTGTATTAAGGTAAGTTTTCAGCAAAAAATTTAAAAATCGGTAATTTCATTGACTTTTGGGGTACAGAGTCCCCTTAATCCAATTACAATGCGAAATACTCACAGTGTTTTATTTTTTGAATAAGTATCTCTTTTTATGGAATTTGCCATTTCATGAATTCGTCGAGTTACTGTATCATTTGATAAAGCAATATTATCAAGTTCATTAGGCGCTTTTTTGTTGAATAATGTTAAAACGATATCTTTAGCTGCTGGCAATATAAGTTTTCCAGCAATAGTGTGAGCCTGCCCAGTCTTGGCAATTCTTAGGCTTACTCTAGTAACTAGCTTCCAAAGCTTTTTCACTTGAAGTAACAAAACTTTTGAAGTAACAAAACCTTTCACTACTTGTTTACTATTTTTGAACTCCGATAATTTCCTCTTAAAAATATTCTTCAGATTTATGTTTTAAATTGGCATGCTTAGAATCAAGATGTATTTTAAAAAACGATGGTTTCATACTTTGATTGGATAATAGTTCAGCGCAAACAACACATTGAGGTTGATGATCCATTTCATCTCCATTCCAAGTAAACCTAAATGATAAATAACTTTCATTATATTTTCTGCAAACGATTTTTCTTTTCTTTTCAATATTTTTAGTGTTAGTGGATTGTCCTGGTATGTCTTTTAGACTGGCTTTTAGTCATCACTTTTCCGTTTAGACAATCCTAGTCATTTTCTCCATTTTGAACATCTAAGTTTGTTTTATAATTTTTTCACAAAATATTTCAATGCGCAATGTATTTACGACTTCTTCAAAAACAGACGACGATGTTCTGAAATAGCCTAGAAAAGTAAGGAATGAAAAGCAACAAGAAGACAAACTACCTGTTAGAAACAGGTAATCGACGTAAAAAAAAAACTATTCTAATTGAAAATAGAACAATATGAGCGGCCGCATAAAGTGTGGACATGCTATTAATTCGATGAACTTTACAAGAATTATGAGATACTATTTTCTTTTATAGGAATTTATTTCTGTGTAGATGATCTTGATAATATTATCTGGGAGCATTAAATTAGAAAGCTTATAAATAAGTCCTGCATGCCACACTCGATCAAAGGCTTTCTCAAAATCGAGGTAGCACGCAGCGACTGCACTCTTTTTTTGAAATGCCAATGCAATTATTTCAACAAGATTTAAAATTTGATGCGTGGTGCAGTGCCCTTTGCGAAAGCCGAATTGCAAGTTATCTATTAATTCATATTTTTCTAGGTAATCATTGAGGCGGGAACTAAGAACTTTTTATAAATTTTTCGCATGGCAGAGAGAAGGCTGATCGGCCTGTAACTAGAAGTTTCTTTTGGATTTTTTCCAGGTTTAAGAATGAAAACAATGATGGAGTGCTTGCATTGCTGTGGGAAGTAAGATAAACGAGTACAGCCATTGATAATATTACATAAATTAATTACACATCTGTGAGGTAGTGCCTGTAAAGCTTCATTATTTATCTGGTGGTAACCTTTGGCCTTTCTTGGTTTGAGGGATTTAATAAAGTTTTTGATCTCATTTGGAGTGGTGAAATTAATGAATTTTCGAGGAGGACTGCTATTAATATTTTTGACATAATCCATTGCTTTATCTTCAAGTTTAGAATTAGTGTTTTCTGAAAGAGGCATATAGATTTTTTCTCGCTCATTAGCCATTAAATTTGCTATGTCTTGATCAAAGTAATAAATATTTCCCATATGCTCAATAGTATGATGATTATTAGAGTTATTTTGTCTTAGTGACTTAGCAATTTTTTCCAAACTGTGTTATTATCAGGTTCCAAATTTTCAAGAAGGAAATTCCATTTCCTAGATCTATGATATTGAATTTCAGTTTTATTTTTCTGTTAAGGTAGTTGAGGAAACGTTTATCCCTTGGATTTCGAGAGAAATGCCAAATCTCAATTGCTTCATATCTTTGTTTAATAATGAGCTTGATGTAATTAGGTAATGTGTGGAAGTCTTTAGCTTTCGCGGGACGTATCATCATTTTTTATCAATGGATCTTTTTTTTTTTTTTTTTTTTTAGAATGTAAGAGTTTTACCTCAATTCGTGACCTGAAATAAAGAATCGAACGGCTATAGAGACTAATTACATATGTATGTTATTTGAACTATCAGGCGTTACAATTATCTAACTGATAGTTTTCAGAGCATCTAACATTTCATTGAAAATTAATGACAACATCACATGTGTAATTATCGCTTCGGGCTCAGAGCATACGGCTTAAAATTTTGGCCGAATACCGTTTATTGACTTAGATGTACAGTCTCGTGACTTGAAACTTATTTCATATATCACAGAACTGTAAACAAAACTGCACGTTTAGCAACATATTTAAGGTCGTCATTAGTAACGTTTGTCAATTTGAACAGTAGAAATATTAGAGAGTGTCAACGAGGAGTTATTGACAGTTTTAATGTGTTTAATACTTTTATATGATTCTACTATATCACTATGTAGAGTATAGTGTTCTTATTACATAAACTCTTGGTAGACGTTAAGCGACTTAAAAGGCACACTTTGTGCTTACAACTCAGCCAACCACTTGCCGCGAGATAACTTAAGAATAAAAGTAAGACGAATGTAAAACTTTCAATTCAAATAAGCCAGTAGCGAATGCTACACAGTCAATGTAACGCGAAGTTGTTTCAAAACTTAATTGGTGTGGAATTCAACTATCGGCAGTTATAATGCAAGGCTAAAGACAAGAACTTTTATCTAAGATAACCCAGTAATGTGGCCTCGAGAGGCAAGCACGGTTTACCGTACAGTCTTAAAAGCATAGTCTCAAATACACGTGATCTAATTTGCATGCTGGAGGGAAAACGGAAAGAAAGAAATGACAGCGCAGATCTAAAACATAAAATAACTGTTTAATTAACATAAAGGAGCTTCACAGCCTTTCCTTTTATGTCGGGTAGAGAAAGCTCATTACGCAATGCGAAATAGCATAATTATTGTCACAAGTTTCCATTTGCCTAAAATATGCTTGAAAACGCACAAGAGGGTGCAACGGTCTCGAAACCGAGCAATTTTCATGCGTTGTATAAAAAGAATTGATTTAGACTCGAAATTAATAAACTGGACGGATAAAACAAAAATTACGGACATCTTAAAATCCCAGACATCGCCCTGACCGTCTGGAAATCCTACATATGGGACTATTGTTTGCCAGTTCCCCTCAGAAAGTGTTCCAGAAAGGCATCCCTTCCCTTAGGCAAGTAGGCCCGTTTGCTTTGCCGTGAACCCAAATAATCCAATCTAATCCAAGAAAATATTTTTGATTTCAAATATTCAGCCAGTTTCAGGCTGAATCCATTGTGGTTTCCAGTTTTGTTAACTGCTATTTCCATAAATATTTTCAATTTCCGTAAGAAAATGGTAAATTCCAAAGAGGATTGCTGTGAGAAAAAAAAAGAATTTTATAAGTTATTGTTATGTAATTGTCAATTTTGCCACGAAACTCCTGAGACCTTTATGCATGTCAAATGCAGAGTAAGCCAAGAATCAGTAAACACTGAAATTTTTCAGATCTTAGTGAATTTGCAATGTATGATAGTATGATAAAAGTGCAAGCTTCAGAAGAATACATAAAATTATTTTTCATGAGCTTCCTAATGCAAATTTTTAAACCACCAGACAACATTATATTTAGGAAGCCTGAAATGCTCAGTTTTTTAATTACAACTATCATAAGTTAGTGTTGGGTAATTCCTTTATTATTCTTAAGCTGAAAGAAAGGTAAACTTGGATTTTGCAATTATCGTTAAGGATGAAGTGTCGGTAAATCTTGCTTCACAATAAGCAAGACGTTCAAATTTTGAAACGAAACGAATGACAGTCGAAAGAACTTTATGTAAGAACAGTAATTTACATCACCAAATCTCAAAGTGATTCCGAAAGAAATGCTATATTTCGTTCACCACAGTATCTAAGATCAACTTCAATCGAGCTCATAATAAATGTTGACTGTAAAGGCCAACAAACAGTTTTATTATGAAGTACTTTATATTCCGCTACATATGAAATGTTGCATGATGACATAATTGCAATAAGCAAAGAAAAAAAAAAAAAAAAAAACGCGCAATAAAATTCTTCACAAAAAAACAGACACAATTTTGCGCGTTTCCACGCTAACTACGTTACTACAAGTACTTGTATATTTTCCAAATCGCTGATGGTACAAATGCTTTGAATTTTTACCAACTTTTAGATCACTCTATATTACTGTTTGTATCATAAGATATTGAACATAATTCTAATGTGTAATATCTCGATAAGTATAGTTGTGGTTACTCAAAATTTTGTTCTGCTTCCTTTTAGACGCTTAATATTTAAGCAGTTTAATATTGCATTACTGTGTTTCTTTGCATAATTTCTTTGCAAGTTGTTCATCTGCAATGATTAGAATGTAATAAGTACTTTTTCTCTTATCAGATGGGTCATCAGGAAAAGACTGAATGAAAACTGGCAGCTTCCTTACGGCATCCGTTACTTACCTGTTCCTAGTAAAATACAGCGATATCTGAATTTACTGTCAGGATAACGGAAGAACACACGAAATTGAAACTGATAAAAAATAAAAACTCCAAACAATGATGAAATGTTTTAAACCTTTTTTCAGCAACATTATAAACAAGATATGCTTTTCGGTAATTATTAAAACCTATTTATGGAATGAAAAGTTGTCTAGTTTTAGATCTGTGCATAGTATTTCATTAATTCTCTAGTATTCGAACCTGGATAAAGTTTCCAGTCAGCAAGCGTTTTAAACGCTGGGTTACTGGTTGGTCACCCATAGCTAAGTATCAGAAAACTGCATTTCATAGCAAGTTTGGTACGAATCTTTAAGAAAGGAATGACCATAATTGTTTTCTTCCTAATATTAATATACTTTGTACGAGAAGGGCTATTAACATCTTTCTTGCAAAGAGCTGGTAAGTTATAATACTTCTTCCTAGTAAATACAATTATATCTATACAATACAGGCAATATAATAATGCTGCAAACATTTATATATGTAAAAAAAAGTAAAAAGAAAATCTGAAAGGTTTCAGATTTTAAATTACGTCCAAAGGGGTGTTTTTAACTTTTTTAAACTTTTATTTATTAAATATCAGTTCTCGCACTTAAACCATAAAATTCAGTGAGAGCAATTATAGCAAACGAATTTTAAATGAGTATAGCTTTAGATTCCGATACACAGTCCCACGTCGGAGATTAAAAGTTTTTCTGTACAAACGTGCCATTGTCGTTTTGGAATCCTTGAGTTTGCTATTCAAAAATCTTTACAAGTTTTACGAAATTTGAAATCGATAAAACAAATTTCAAATATGGGCTTCCAGATTCTGACATTCGCAGCAGGATTACGTCATTCAAAATTGGATGGCTCTAAGTACCGTTGGTTAACCATACATACATTTATGCCGATTCTTCATTATTTAATATCTTCAAACATAATACAGGGCGATAATATTTGGTGGCAACAGTTTGAAAAGTAAAAAGGACATTCAGAGTGATTCGACGCAAAATCTCAAAACGAAAACAATAGTCTCTCAGGGACAAAGCCCCTTTAAACTAATAAAAAAGAGCGAAGATATAAAGATAACTCAAATCTTTACTTGCTAGTCCAGATTGGACAAAACATTATTCAAATTTATTAATTTTGAGAAAGTTATTTTTTGACAGAACTGGATTTAAAAAGTTTATTTCTTTACTTTTTATAAGCGCAGTATTTCGTTGTCTTGCAGATTTTATTTAAATATTTTATTTAAATATTGTGGTCTTTTGAACTTAAAACATTTAAGAATTTCTCTAATTTTCTTGTTTAAATTAGCTTCCCAGAATGACGAAAATGATGGTGAAATATTTTGCTATTTGTTGTAGGTTATTTTGAAAGAGAATTAGCCATACGTATTGTAAATAATGAAAATTTTCGTCTGTGTCTGAAATTGATGTCAGGAAAACAAAATTAAAGACATTCGCTTTATTTATTAATATTCCAAAAATGAATATTTATACTATTGCAAAAATATAACTTTAAAATAATTAATAAATAATTATGGTTTATTCATTTGAGAAAGTCTTCAAGAAGGACGTTTCATATAAACACGTATAAACTCAGTGCAAAAAAAGAATTTTTTGGGGAATTATTTTACATCCGTATTCTAAGAAAGCATAAAAAATTTAATTTTTAAGTATCAAATAAATTTAAAATCTCATTTTTAAGTTTCTTGATATTTCATGGTTCTAAAAGGATATAAAAGTTAGGATGAAGAAGGCTTTTAGGTTCGATACAAGCTAAAGAAAATTTGATACATAGGAATTTTTTAAAAAACATTTCAGTCAGTCCCAAAGTAAAACAGCCTTTAGAACAGAAGTTTTGATTTTTCAAAAAAAGCAAAAGAAAGTTAATTTTTACATTCTGAATTGTTAGTTTAAAATCTTTGTAATTTTTTTCAAGCAAAGTGCATAACATTTCATTATGTTATTGGAAATCCGTCATATTTATAATTACAGCTGATGCTAGAAAATTCATTTAAACTTACACTCGTGAGAAAAATTAAGAAAATTTCGAAATTATGTTTGTTTTTACGAAAGGTGTTGAACCAAACGCACTAATTACGCCGCCGAAGTATTATACAAATATTCAAAGTCCAGCACGTAAGCGTGCATGTGTGTGTCTGCAGAGCTGAGATTGTGGAGGGAATATAAGCTCACGTGTTTCAGGACACTGAATCCATATCGAAAGACCTGGTCAAGTCGAATAAGATATACAACGACTAATGAGGACCATTATTTGGCGCTTTCAGTGCTGCTTCACAGGACTTCTACAGCTCTCACGTGAGCGGCATGCTGCCATTGGAGTCCGAGTTTCCCGGTATACCGTAGCCCCAGTTATAAAATGATGCTCTCTATATAAGTAAACCGCACATCTTTTTCAATGAATACATAAATTTTCAGCATTACACACTCATTTGTGTTTCTCAGAGTCACTTTCAGTTATCATGCAGACTATCCATAAGTGAATTATTGTAAGCGAACTGTAAATAAGTGAATAACACAAGTGACTTCGATGAATGTGACAAGCCAATGTGACAGATTTTTTTTATTTCAAAATTAAGCGTAATTTCGCTTGAAAGAGAAACGTAATTTAGTGAGACGCGAAATAAAGAATGCTGTACAGTGTTATAAGTATTCTATCAGTTCGAAAACAAATTCGTCTATAGCATAGGTCAAAATTCTAGAAGAAAATAAATAGAACAGTATGGGCGGAAGTCAGTGGAAGGAAAAGAGAACGGGACAAAAGGAAGTGTAAAAATAACTGATCATCAGAATATTTCAGAGAAGTCTGAGTGCAGATAGATAACTGAATTTAGTAGAAGTAATCCAAAAGTATATATTGTAAAACCCCAATGAACCCGTTACCAATAAAACGTGTTAAAAATATCCTCAAATAATTTTCAAGTTTTTCGATTTACTTTATAGTAAAAGATACTGTTAGAAAATGTTAAGGAACAGTTGTAATACATTTCTGAATCGTATTTAGGTTAATCATTTGTACTGCGTATTAAGCCACACACTAAGAACATAATGAAAAAGCTTATAATAGACATCAGTTATACTACGATGTAGAGCAATCTACAATCTGACTTTGAAGTATAAAACTGAGGCATAATGCTGAAACTGAATTGAAGTTATGTATTCTCTCTCCTTCAAGCATGCCTTCAAGAGTGCAATTAGAATTTTTTTTTAAATCCAATGGCGGGCACTTGCCCATTCAGCACTGGCCACTCCTAAGGCAAGAAGTGGTGATCAATTTATTGTGGAGGCACCTAATAGATGGCCGCCGCTGCCTTCTATTAAAGGTACGGACAGTTACAACCCTGCTTTCTCCGGAATTCGAACCCGGGCCCTTCCGTACTGTAGTAGTAGGCTCTCCTAACCGGTATACCGTATGGGTGACGCTACCAGATGTGAGTTTTGGAGATCGAATCCCTGCAAGCGCATTGCACCTTTTTTCACATAAAGAATCTGCAAAGTTATATTATTAATCAATAACAGATTAAGCTCTGAAGAAAAATATGGTCACAAAACATTCAAAAGTGCTCATAAAAAGAGAAAACAGGGGAGAGGTGTGTTGCTCCTCTTTTTAATTTTGTAATCGAACTGGATACATCATTCATCCTGCCCCCTTCTAATTGAAGTGGAACATGTCCGAAACAAGTAAAATAATAATGGAGGGAGATAATTTATTCCTTACGCCCCTTCTATCCTGTCTTTCTGGACTTATTGTGTTGCACTTATTCTACCTGAAGCACCTTCTATGGCACGCGAAGTTCTGACAGCCGAAACACAGCATGGACCTTTCATGCTAATCTTCGTATACAGCGGAATTTGGAGTTGGAGCTAATTTACTTCTCACTGTATTCTAATATTTTAGTCAGACGGAATCAGAAAGACCTGGACTGTCGCTGTAACTGAACATTACATTGTCGCTGTAACTGAACATTAGCTTACATGTTACCATGCGGCCAGTCTGCTCTTACTCGCAATATATTTTTATTTTAAAATAAATTTTGTCATTTCCCTTACATTTTGCCTGCTTCATCGCCTATTATCCTTTCCATATGAGATAATATATATTTAAACAGAGGGAGAAAAAGTAAGTTTAAGATTATATCAGTTACACTCTTCCGCTATTTAATATAGTTTTCCTGAGATGCCTAGGAATTGAATTTGAGCTAATTTCAACTGATGAGTTTAAATCCCTATTGGAGAGATCTGATACTCAGTGATCTCAGGTGGTAGCAGCCCTTGATTTCATTAAACAACCGCTTTCATAGGTATCCAGTTATTCTTGCTTCCTTTAAAATCCAGTAATTTTAATAATATTTTTTTTAATATGAGATTCTCGTCATATTACAAATGATAAATTGAAACTAAAAGCTTTGTCTCTTCGTATATAGGAATGATTCACACTTCTGTCAGTGTTTTTATGCTTAGAGTTTAAGTAGACATAATATTCTAGAATAATCACTATAGTTTCCCCTTCAATTCCCCAACAGTGGCCGAGCGATAAAGTCGCTGAACACTGGTAGTTTGGTCTGAGTTTCGAATTCCGCGAGATGGCTGTCTGCATGGGAGTTTTCGTGGTTTTCCCATGTGTATACGAGCCAGTTTCTCTCAGAAAGTCCTCCACGAAGGCATCCCTTCCCTTTAGCAAATAGACCTCGAGCCTTTGCCGTGATCACGTAAACCATAAAACCAAACTTTAAACTGTAAGCCCGAAAACTAACGCAACTTACTGGAATTGTAAGATACCGTCTTAAAATTTCTGGAAAACGATGAAACGTATTCAGTTTAATAGAGATGAGTTAAAAGGTTAACTCATTTCCTCCAAAAGTTCTTGTCTAAATAAATCAATTTAAAATTTCAAGAAGTATGACAGTCTAATTATATATTTAAAGCAATTTGAATATAGTTCAGAGCGCAACTATGGTGTGGAGTAGGTACGCCTTGAGTTTCAAGTTTTGTCAAGTTAAAACAGTTTTTTTAGCTCCAAATTACACTGACGAGCTAAAACTTTATAACCATTTTAATGAACTCGTCTGGGTGACATGGAAGGCACGTGATTAAATGGGAATGGTATTTAACT